AAAAAAAAAATAAAAAAAAAAAAAAAGAACCAAGAACCACCGACCAAAAGCAGGATTTCGCTTCCATTTTCCCCATCTTCCACTGTTAATAATCCAGACCATACAGAAAAACATAACTTCACTACCTACTTACTATTCGTTGTGTAAATACGCTACTTACTCAACGTTCAACTTCAGCTTATGCAATATATCGAAGCGTTTGCCATCATCCAATGGGACGGACGGACGGACTTGGCTGTATAGAGTATATAGCTTCGCTGTTAGGAATTAATGCTCTAGCGGTATATAGTATACTGTATATAAGCAGGTGATGAAGAGGATGTCAGAAACGTCATGTGTGGATAAATGAGATCCGTCTTGTCTTGTCTTTTGGCTTAATCTTGATAGTTCACTCAGCTCACGTGCAACCACTTCTATCACTTCCATCACCGTGTAAACTCGCTACGTATGTAGTCTTCTCTTAAAATCCCAAAAGCAGAATACCGCTAACCGAAGCCAACCGAAACCACCGACTGCCATCTTCATGCATCTGAGCACTCTTTGTAATTGTTGGCCTTTTTTTATGTTCCATTTGATATACACCACTCCGCTCCATTGCCTCCGTGTATGCCTCGCTTCTTGTCCTTATTTATAACCCTATTTTCATTTCCCTCTCAAACACCGTACCATACTACATGAATTCATCACCACCGTACATACATGATAATACATAATTTTTTTTAACCTAAACCTACTATACTTTGTTGTTGTTGTGCCTATTCGTAAACCCCATCCCATTCCATCCCATTCCATTCCTTTCACTTCCATAACCATATAACCATAACCATCACCATGACCATAACCATGACCATAACCATACCAATACCATTGCACACCATTGCATACCGTTAACCACCAGTTCGATCGAGTACGAACAAAACAACAACCATAACAAACTCCACGTTTTGTAAAAACTTTCAATCAGACAGAATACCACACCACACCACTCAGACAATGCATGCAATGTTTATCCTCACCACCACCATCAACTCATCCCTCTACTCCGTCCCCAACCGATGCAAATTCGACAAAATCTTGTCCAACACATCCTGCCGACTTAACGCCGTCCCACCATTACCACCGGCATGTCCCCCCCTTGATCCTCCTCCTCCTCCTCCTCCTCCCCCCATCCCACACCCCAACTCCCCCTCCTCTCCATCCTCTATCGCACTCGTACTCCCCATAAACACATTATCTCCACTCCTACTCAACCCTCTCGCCCGTCCACTCCACGTACCATTCCCACTAGCACCCGATTCAAGACCGCCAAGCAAGCCGCCTAGCGTACCCAAGGCACCCAACCCGGCAATCCCGCCGCTGAGGGCAGCCACGTTGAAGGCAGAGCCGGGGTTGAAGCCTCCTACGCCGACACCGCCGAAAGCGATGCCGCCAAGCGGGGTGGGTGGTGGTGCGGAAAGGGGAAAGTAGTTCTGGTCGGGGGAGACGTCGGTGGAGGAGAGGGTTTGGGGTTGCAAGGGAGGGGTTTGGAAACCTTGGGCTTCATTGAAGTACGAATTTTCTTCCACGTCATGGGCTTCTTCTTCCCCTCCGCTCTCTTGTTGCTCGGCCCCTGTATCTGCTTCTGCGGGCGTGTGGTCCGAGGTATTTTGAGAGGGTCGTTGTGCTGCAGTGGCTGGCGCTGGTTGTTGTGAGGACGCATTAAGCGCGGAAGGGAACTGCAGATGGACATTGTTCGCATTCGTCCAGGGGTTATTCGACGTCTGCTGTGCCTTTGGAGGTTGACCTTGCGGTGTCGACCCTGCTCCCGTGTCCACACTTAACTGGGTAGGAGAGATAGTTTGCTCTGACGCCTGCTGAGCCGATTTTCGTTGTCGCCGCTTCTGAGACTGGGATTGCGAGGAAGCTCCTTGACTTCCCTGCCGGCTGTTTGTCTGTGGAGGTTGGCTTAACGGCGATGGCTTGGCCTGATTCATCTTTTGCACGTACGGCGGCAACGGAATCGGACTATGACTTTGCTTTGTAAACTGCGGCTTCGCCGGCTGTTGCGGCTGAGGCTGCTGGTTCTGAGCCTGTTGCTGCGATTGAGGCATATGATGATGATGCCCCTGTTGTGTCGGCGAAGGGGAGAACATCTGCGGTTGAGGGCTCCCCACCATTTGTGGACTCCCCATCCAGATGTTACGACTGCCCTGGTTTTGATACTGCTGTTGCCAAGGTCCTTGGTACTGCTGCCTTATATCTTGATGAGATCCAGACTGTTGCTCAAAGGCAGAACCGAACAGCACTGGTGCTGGAACTGAGTGACTTGAAAACGGCGACGAAGATGAAGATTCACCAAATCCAGCGTCGTGCTGGTTGTAAGTGTACTGGGGTTGGACTCTTGGGTGCTGCGTAGGCTGGCCAGTGAAAGAGTTCTGCTGAAACTGACCATCGTTCGGCTGAGCAGATGCAGAGGAAGCGTTGCGTGAGTGAGCTTGACTAGTCGCTGGTCTCGAGCTAGGCTCCGAAACGTCCTTTCTCGTCAAGGCCTCACGAGCATTCTTCATGAAGTTTGTAAAGTTTTCCGCATAGTCATTCGTGAAGTCGGCGTGAACGAGCTTTTTCTTCCCAGTGGTCTCATCCAGTTCAGTCACAGCCGGCTTATAAGGCGAGTGGTGCTTCAGCGGATCCCTAGTCTTCATTAGCCTTTGCTTTCAAAGTGTTCACAAGCAAACTTACTTGTTATTATAAACCTGGAAAAATTCGTACTTTTGAGACACCCTCTGATCATCATCCGCACACTTAAGCAGCGACGAAGTCATTGGAGCCGGCAT